TTCCAGCAACTTCTGGTAAGGAAAGTGAGTGGTAAACCACATATTTGGCAGTGGTGGTGTCACTCTTCTCATATCTTACCACTTCCAGAGTTGGGTTAAAAATTGAACCCATGTTTAAAATCCATTTATTAAACTAAATATCCATGACTACATCATTTTAATAGTCACGTTGTAGCTGTGGAATTGGTCTGCAGCCCGTGTGATTGAATCTTACCCATCTTGCCATTAGCTCTGAGTATTAATTTCAGAGGATCTGGGTGATTTAACTATTTCCTTCTGGTTCCACTGGCTGGGCACAGTGATGGTGCAGAGATTTTTTTTTCAAGCCATTTGTAATTGATCCATCTTAGAATGGTTCAGGGCCCCACATTTGGGATTGATTTTTATGTTTCCTTCTCTTCAAGGTTTGTAGGTTCACTGCATATGAGAATGTAGATATCTTGGGCAAAGGACCAGCGATGAGAAGGGCGTGAAGTTCAGATGACTGCTCAGGTCTCCCTCCAAATTCCTGGTTGTGTTCTTCTGTGCGTACATCAAAAGGGCCAGGCTGGTGCTTCAGAGCCCAGCGTGGCTCAGATGTGTGACCCGTGGAGTGGTTGTGGATTCATGTCAGACATTGAGTCTGAGCAAAATCCACATCTGAAAAGCAAAAGCAGCAGCCAGAGAACATTCCAAATATTACTTGGATGTCAGAGTGACAGATTGCAGCCTGGCATCTTCCATTAATTTTCCTTTTTTTCCTCCCTGTCTCCTCTGTACCCAACTCCACAACCAAGTCAGAGCTCAGAAAGCCTGAGATATTGTCAGTTGCTTTGGGGAACGGACTCCTGCGGCCAGTAGTGCCTGATTCTGCATTCTGTGGTGTTAAATAGTGTTGATTGCTAATGAAAAATGGGTGATTTGTCTTTACATTCAAGCAATAGAAATAACATGTTGAGTTTTTTTATGGAGACACTGAATAGTAGCAAGAAGTTGGGTTTAACTTACCCACAGTTGATTCTTTGACATGACAATGAATGGTGGGTGTATTTAGAAGTGGACATTTATGAGACTGTTGCTTAGTTCTTCCCCTCGTTTATGCAAATGGGTGGATGTCCTGTGGTGCATTGCGATGTCCGTAGCATTGTAGTCGAGAAACGCATCTTGGATTGTAGAGTTAGAAGGAGCCACACACATCCGCTTGTCATGCAGTCCAAGAATCCCTTCTATAGCTGGCTGATGGCTCATCTTTCAGCCTCTGCTTGAATATTTCTTGGGACAGAAAGGTAATTCCTCCATAAGGCAGCCCTTCTTTTTTTGGGTTGGCTTTAACAGATCATGGAGTTCTTTATTCATATGTTTGCAGTCACTGGATATAATTCAGCCTCCTGAAGCCCACGGACAATTTCCGTTCTTTTTCATATAGCAGCACATCCCTTAAGCCTTCCTCTTCTGAGTAAAAAGCCTGCATTCTTTTCATGTTCCTTTTGTAACACCTTGATATCCTCCCAACTCAGTCATAGTTAACAGCCTGCGATGCTCTCTCGGTCCTGACCAGTGGCTTGAGGTAGAGCTGTCCTTGGCAGAGTCAAGATCGCTGCATGTAGGCATAGAGTAGCTTACTCAACTTTTAAGATCTCTCTGCTTATATGAGCTGCGAAGGCCCTACTGTTCCCACTCGGTTGTGTTCGTTTGTGCTCATGCTGAGTTGGTGGGCAAATCTTACATTCGGGCCATCGTCCAGGGAGGCATAATTGGCAGTTAAGAATGTGATCACCTAAAGCAAGTCGGTGGATGACTGATTTTTGTTTCCGTGTCACCCTTGGGATCTGTTATGGTGTAGGGCACAAACGTTTCCCAGCAGGATCCACAAGAGGGAAACAGGATGCTCGCGTGTACTGAGCCCTCATTTTGTGCCTGATATATCATATGTACCCTCTCACACTAGCCCTTCTAGGGGACAGTTTTTATCCCCACTTTATAGATGACATTCAGCGAGGATAAGTGACTTGTCCAAGGTCAAGTGGCTAATAAGTAGCAATGCCATGAATCAAATCTTTACCTGTGAGAATGCTCAGTCCATGCTTCTCCAACAACCCTACTCTGAGCAAACATGAATTGGACAATAGATATCTCTTAGGCACCTATGGATTTGTGTGAGGGTTACCAAAAGTGAAGGTGAGATATCATCTCTATCTCAAAGGTCTTTGAATTTCTAAAGGAGGGTTAAGATAGGCAAATATGTCATTAATAGAGACATGGATAAGTAAATACAGTTATTATACTTCATGTGTGATTAAGTTAATGATGGAGGCAATTTGAAGACTTGTGCCTAGACTTTAGCTTCATAATCGGTGTTTCCTATAGAGCCTGGAGCTGTCCAAAGGATCAGTACCTTTATGGCGGCCATGTATAGATAAAATATGGTCAAACTGGCAGTAAAATATTTAGTTGATGGCCCAGGAGATAGATGCAATTTCATTCTTCCAAGGCCATTGGAAAAACAATCTGCTTTTGTTTAAAAACCCACACATATATATGTATTTCAAAGAATTGGGTGGGAAATGCAAATTTGACTACTTTTCAGGTAAGAGAAAAATACCTTCCAAATTTCTCTAGGTTAAAAAGAGGGAAGGAGGATTGAAAACAGTTGAATTTCCAAGGATAGTTTGCTGTAGTAAATTTTCCCTATAAAATCACATATCCATCATTTACTCCACCACCAGCCTCCAAGCACCACTATGCCAAAAACAACCTAATGAAGTTATTCATTTCAGCAGAAAAGTTAATTCTATGACATTTCTTAGCTGCCAGTTGCCCTATTAATGACAATTGTTGGAAGCTCAACTGAGTGTCTAATGTCAATCCCACTTGCTGTTGCCCACATAGACTGTGTTCTATGTGGAGATTTCTTTAAAAATGTTGCTCAACACTTGGAAATAGTCATAGGTTTTTGAAGAACCTTGATTGTGGTTCTTCTGTCTTTTCAGCCCTCCCTGAAATTACTCCAAGGGAGAAAATGTATGATTCTGTTAATCATTATTGTAGTTTTTCCCCTTCTCCTCTTCCCCTTATAAGGCCAAGTGAAGCAGAATAGCCAGAGAACCTGGGACAAGCCTGTGCTGAGAGGACACATGGCATCCTAGCTTATGTGTGGCGTATTCTCAGGGAACGTTAGCACCAGCTAGGACTCCACTCAGCCAAGTGTCTTTTGGAAAATTGAGCCCAGAGAATAGAAGACTGTGGTCCCACCAAAGAGAGCCCAGCTGTTTCTTGATGGTTCCCTGCTCTACAACACACCTGGCTTGTGCTGAGTGCTGATGTGGGCACTGTGCTAAGGGGTCTCCAGGCCCGATCCATTTCATCCCCACAACCGCCCCTTGGGGTCAGTCCTACTACCATGCTTACTTTGGGAAAGTGGAGTCTGAAGGATGGAGACGGCCAGCACCTGGCCCATGATCAGGCCGCCAGTAAGTAGAGGAGCTTGAATCTGAGATGACATAATACCTCCAACAAGGAAGAAGGCAGACCTCTCTCTATAGAAATATTTGTGATTAACAAGTGCAGATCTTTTAGTCACTGCAAGCTCTGTTTGTAAAGTAGGGCTTATAGACAGCTGCAGATATTACCAACAGATGAGAAAACAAAGCAAAACAAAAAACACACACACACTTTTGCATGGGCAGAAAATGATTCCCAGGAAGTGGTTCAACCTAACCTGGGCATGTCATCATTGGAGACAGTGTGAAAATGTATTTATGTCTCAGACTAGGTGCTTTGCTTCCCCCACATGCTAGTCTTCTTCTGTTTCGGGAGGACCTGAAGGAAGAATCTCCTGGGACTCAACACTTCCTTTGAGCATCCCTTCAATCATTTGTTCATTCTCAAATCCTTATTTAAGCACCCACAGCCAGCAAGCACTGAGCATGGAATATGGTTGTGGTCACGGACATGGTTGCTATTATCATCATGCTCATGATCTATCAGAGAATTAAACCAGCCTTAACCCCCATCTTTCCAGGGGAAGATCCGGAGGCTCGGCGGCTGCGGACAGTGAAGAACATCGCTGATCTGCGGCAGAACTTGGAGGAAACCATGTCTAGTTTACGGGGAACTCAGGTTACACACAGGTATCTGCAGCATGAATTACTTTACTGAACTAGCTGGTGTCTTGATTTTCACTGCTTCTCCTGTGTTCATACCACTGGCAAAGTGATTTGGTTAATACTGGAATAAATAAACTCACTCTCCAAATGTGCTGGAATTCACAAAGAATACCACGCAACATGCGGAAGAGAATTGTCGAGAATAAAAATTGGTGTAGACAGATTCCTCCCAAAAGCAGAAGGTTGAAAAATTCATTCAATAGAGGATATTGTACACCCGCTGTATTTAAATTTCACTTTACTTGCATTTTCTAAAACTATAGTGTACTGTTGAAACAAGCAGGTGAACTATATTTGACCTGTGTGATAAATTGAAGAAGTTGAATTCCTACCCTGTCTTCTGATATGCAACACTCTGTAATAATGTTAGTCATGCACGTGCATAAAACACATAAGGAAATATTTATAAAAACTTATGATCATGTTTAAACTGTGATTGACTTGGATGAGATCTAGGATGACATTGAGAACATTTATCAGGTTACTTTCATTGTTGAACAAGAAGTTGAAGAGGATGTAACCTTGGGATGTCCTTCATGATTTTGGCAGAACAAGGTTTTGCGGGTTGTAGAAATCAAGGAAAAGTCCTTGTTACCCTAGCTGAACCCCCAGGGAGCCTCCTTGGCTTCTCCAACTTAGTTTCTTTGATAAACGACTATAGTGAGGAGACCACAGGGCTTCCTCAGGAGCAGCAGTTTTGGCAGATCAGGGTTAACCACCATGGGTTCTATCTTCAGTAGGACGAGGACCCAAAACGGAAGGGTCCAATATGAGGAAAGCAAGGCCACTTCCAGGATCAAAGGGAAACAAAAAAATAGTTCAAGGCACCAAACTGGCTCTTGCAGTGGAAAATAAACCTGGGATTTCCAGGCGGTGCTCTCCTGAACCTCTAGGTGTTTGGAGTCGGATGCTGGATCTTGTAACTCTCTGATTAGGTGTGAAACATCCCTCTTCCCACCATAGTCACTGACACTGACTTAATGTCAGCAGAGCAGTTCGATGGTACGATGATAATGATGACAGGATGGAAGGCTTCAGTGGTTTCTTCTACAGGGAAGACTCTCACGACTCGGTTAGGAAATCCCAGTGCAGTTCTGAGGAGGGGCAGATGATGTTCTTGACTGTGCCAAAGAGTCTGCAGGGCTGTCCAGAGAATGGGCTGCAAAAGGGTCTTTCTGATGCCCAAGAATGAGCTCAATCTCCTGGCACATTCCAACCCACGTAACCTGATTTATAAGGGGAATCAAGCCTTGACATCTACAAAATCTTTTCAGTCTTTTTAGATGAACTATGGGAGAAGCAAAAGTCCGGGGGAAAGGGACCTCAGAGGGTTAGAACATCAGGGCTCTCTCCACCTGCTCAGTCCGTAGGGAGCTGAGGATATAAAATGTGGTATTAGGAATATTAGGAACTCGTGATGGGCTGGTGCATCCTCTCCTCGGAAAAAGGGATTCTGATGCAACATCCTAGAATGAATGGGCAAGCCGGGACCTTCCTGCTTCATCCGTATCAGTTTTCAGCATTTTCTGTTTCTTCTCCCGAATTGGAGAGAAAATTCTAATAGTTAAGATCATTTCATTAAAGTAATTGGTGGTGGGTATCTTATACCCTGTTTTAGGGGAAAAAGTCTCAATGGGCTTTTCAGAATTATGTAAATGTGTAACTTCCCTATTTCATTTTTTTTTTTTTTTTGAGACAGAGTCTCACTCTTTTGCCCGGGCTAGAGTGAGTGCCGTGGCGTCAGCCTAGCTCACAGCAACCTCACACTCCTGGGCTCAAGCAATCCTTCTGCCTCAGCCTCCCGAGTAGCTGGGACTACAGCCATGCGCCATCATGTCCGGCTAGTTTTTTCTATATATTTTTAGTTGTCTGATTAATTTCTTTCTATTTTTTAGTAGAGACAGGGTCTTGCTCTTGCTCAGGCTGGTCTCAAACTCCTGAGCTCAAGCAATCTGCTCGCCTCGGCCTCTCTGAGTGCTAGGATTACAGGCGTGAGCCACCGCGCCCGGCCTCCCTTTTTCATTTTTAACGGAGGAAATACACCAGGTGGTATATAGGGGCCTGTTGTTTTATCTTTTTTTGGTGTGTGTGTATGAGAAGTATTTCGTAATTCTAAAAAGTTAAAGAACATATAAACTGTAAAGGATACTAGGCACATCAGCGTCTAACCCAGGCTGGTTCTGTGTTTTTAGCACATTGGAAACCACATTTGACACCAACGTCACCACGGAGATAAGTGGCCGTAGCATCCTCAGCTTGACGGGGAGGCCCACCCCTCTGTCCTGGCGACTGGGCCAGTCCAGCCCTCGGCTTCAAGCAGGAGACGCCCCCTCCATGGGCAACGGGTACCCGCCTCGCGCCAACGCCAGCAGGTTCATCAACACCGAGTCGGGTCGGTACGTGTACTCTGCCCCTCTGAGAAGGCAGCTGGCCTCCAGGGGCAGCAGCATCTGCCACGTGGACGTCTCAGACAAGGCAGGAGATGAGATGGACCTGGAAGGCATCAGCATGGACGCCCCTGGCTACATGAGCGACGGGGACGTCCTGAGCAAGAACATCCGGACAGACGACATTACCAGTGGGTGAGTACCTGGGGCTGCTCTTTTTTGCAGAGGGGAAGAAGGTGTGGCCCCTGGTTGCTCTTTTGCAGGGCTTTATTTAAGCTCTCCAGAGGAGGTCAAACTTTCCGCCTCAGTTTCCACTGTGTGAAGGCTGCGTGGCGTGGTGGGGGGTGTAGCTGGGCTGTGAATCAGAAGGCCTGGGTAGTCCAGGCTTGGCCAGTAACTCACCAGGCTCCGCCAGCACCAGAGTGACACTTGAAAACAAGCCATGTTTCGTCAGTCCCTTAGACCAAACCTTGCACTGAGGACTCCTCAGTGTGGAGTGTGTGGCCCACCTGGTCCTGCGGGATCTGGCCCATGCCTGCCCCTCGACCTCATCCTGCTGCCCTGCAGCAGCTGTCCCTTCCAGGCCTCCTCAGGCTCCCCAAGCTCTTTCCTGCCTCATGGCCTTTGCTCTCTGTTTCTCAGCCTGGGTTCTCTTTCCCAGACCTTTGTATGGTTCGGTCCTTCTCGAAGCTCAGCTGACACCTCCTTGGAGCAGCTCTCCTCAGCCTTTAATTTGAGGTAGATATGTGTCCTGTGTCCTGCCTCCTGCCCTTGGCATCTTCATCACGCTGTGTTAGGCTCCTATGAAACCTTATTGCTATTTGAAATTGTCTCGATTATGTGTTTACCTTTTATTGTCTCCCTGGCCCCTCCCGCTCGCAGCAGTAAGCACCGTGAAGCCAGGACATCCTTGCTTGTTCACCACCAAACGCCCAGTGCATTGTGTATAATAGGAACCTGTAAATATTGCTGAATTAACGAACGCGTGAATCAGCAAGTGAAGGAACAAACCCAACTTCCTTGCTTCTCAATTTGCTCACATGTAAAGTTAAAGCGATGAGATGATGTTTAGGGGCCCTTTTAGAGGGAGCATGCCAGGTATTAATACTCACTCCCCTCTCAGCTTACTGTGTAAACTTAAGGTGCATCTCTTTAATTCACTTACCTGAGACTTCATCTGATAACATGACTTGCCCAGAAGTTCTACAAGATCTTTCCCACCTCTAACGTTCTAGCAATCAAAATTACAGATTAGAAAAATCGGGAATAACGATCGTGCTACTCATTTCCGTGAAAGCAGTGATCAAGAACCCCATGGGTGAGTCGGCATTTTCATAATTTAAATAATAGACAACTCTCCAACCGAATGCCAGGCTCTGTGCTAGGTGTTTTGCACATGCCATCTTGGTCTGTCCTCGCAGCAGTCCTCTGAAGTAGATGACTTAAGAACCCCCGTGTTACACGAGAGGAAACTGTAGTTCAGGAAGGTTCAGTAACTTGCCCAAGGTCCTGCGGCTGTTGAGGGACAGAGCCCGGAGCTCATGGCTCCAGACTGTTTCCTTACCCACTATCCTATCCTGTCTTGCCAACGTTTTGTTGCTGTATTGAAATATCACAACTACTAGAATTTATTTCAAAATTAATTTAATTTTGCTTAGTTTGACCTGTAATGACTAGAAATGTTTTTTTTTTTTTTTTTAAATCTAATTAAAACCTTAGGCATAGAGGTGCTTTGGTTTTCACCCTGTCACTTTTAGAACCATCTTGGGCAGTGAAATCTTTGAAAACAGGAGCCACAAAACCCTTACAGTATAACAAATTTCTGCTATCTGGAATGGCTGGGAAAGTCAATGCACTGATAAGTTAAATGATCTAGTCAAGTTAGAGCATCATTTTGTATTTCTACTTTTCCATAAACATGAAAAACAGTAATATGCACCTATTACTAAAACTGAATTGCACATAATTTAATATTTTTATCATTGTTTAGAAGACTTTGGGTATCCAGCCCGGCCTTAAGTTTATCATTACCAATTCCCATTTCAATATAATACCAAAAAATCCTGTAATAAAGAGTTTATGTTACTGTCAGACCAGTCTTAATTCTAAATAAATGGACAGTGAATTTATTTTGATGTAGTGTTGATAGTGTCCACAAGGTGGAGACATTGAAACACTTCTAACCTGAAACTTGGCGATAACACAGTGAAAAACTCCTGGTTTCTTTAACAACCCAAACCAGAGCCTTTCCCCTCGCTAAAAAGCGCAAATGTTTACATTTCAGTTCCTGCTTTGTGAAGCTTACATTTTAGGATATGCGATAGTGCTTAGAGCAAGTGTAGATAAAAATGCAGAAATGTAAGCAAACCTCCCAATTACTGAAATTGGAGAACTTTGGTCTGGTTTTTCTTCCTTTATTCTTTTTAATGTAGAAACTTACCTTCAAAATGAGGAGAGGTAGCCCAGGTGGCACTTAATGCTCCTTCTAGTTTAACATTCTAGAACACTTGTTAAGAAGTGTGTCTCCACCCTGTGGAAATGCATGTGAATGTCTGCTTTGATGCCTTACACGCTGAGTTCAGGGCATGCCCCTTAAAAGGCTTTTCTACTCATTTCTTTTACTTCATGGAAACCGAACAAGTTGTAAATATTGAAAGGCTGGTCATTTATTCTATGCTTCAGAATCTGCTACGTAAGTCATTGTTGAGGCAGTGGATGTAATGGAATGGAAACAGACTAAGATGTACGACAGAACAGGGCTTAGACGCTATCCGGCCTCCCTCCTGCTCTGTGACATTAGGCATGTCATTTAACTTCCCTGAGCCTTGAAGCACTACAGTTGATATGGTTTTTAACTTTCTCCAGTTAGATTTCTCTTTGAGATTGCATCTGATTAAAGACAAATATCTGATAAAGACCAAAATTTCAGCCAAGGTCTAGATGTCTTATCAACCTAAAACATCGAGGCACTTGGAAACAGTGCAATGATTAAAGTTTTCATCCAGATGTTTATTTGGCTAGTAGAAACATAGCCTTGATGTACGAGTAATATATCAATCAGTACAGAGGCTCTTTGAGGCAAGTTCTTGTAAAAGTTTACAGCAAGTTTACTTAGAAAACCTGATATGAAAGTAAATTCTCGTTTCCGAAAGCCTGAAACCTTTGTTTTTACAGTGACACTGTACCCCAGCTTGGTGTAACAGCTATTTTTTGATGTGTCTCGTTCATTTTGTTCACTGGGTGTGTGTGCATCCTTCAGTTGTCTATAACCAGGGCTAAAATTACTTTATTGCTATGGAGTTTAGCTGAGAAATTAATGGCAAGTGCCTCTGTGTATGTGTGTGTATCAGAGCCCTATATTGCGTATAGTGTATACTAGGTATGGCTAAGTACGAGTTGTCATCTGATCTCACCACTTCCTTTTATTTGATTGATAAATTGGGCATTGGCTATAGTGGAAAAGAAATGAAAATAACAGATGAGATTTCTCTAAGTTTTGATCTGTGAAGTCGATCCTACTCGTATTCTAAAAATGCAGAGTGCCATATGGCACAAAATAAAGTTAAAGGGACGGACCAGACTCCACGCCCATATGTCTGCAAGGATTTTTTTTCCTTTTCAAAGGAGGCACTGAGTTGTATAATGTTGCAAAGTATTAATATAGATCCCTTCGTGGAAAAAAAGTGACCATTTAAATTTAACATCAGAAGTTTTTCCCTCTCAGAACCTTTGATGGCTTCCTAGTGCCTGTGGAACAGATCTGAACCCCTTAACTGGATGTGGAGGCTCTTAATGGTCTTTGCCTCATCTGCCTTCCCTGACTTAGCCCTGGCATATCCCCCTCACATACCCCAAACTTCCCACTGCTCTGGGCTACCTGCTGTCACCAAAGACTGGTTCCTACATTCGCAAAGCTCTGTGGGGACATGCTGCTTTCTCCCTGCAACTCCTTTCCCCTCAAACCCATCTGACTGATCCTGAGAAAAACACCTCCCCTGTGATGTCCTCCAGGACTTCCCTCGTCAGAGTTAGCGCTGTCTCATGTGTTTCTGGTAGCCTTGGTTCACACCTTGCCTTGTGTGTAAGACTCGCTTTGCATGTGAAGTGTTGGAGAGGGACTGGATGGTGTGGGGGGAAGAGTATGGTCTCACCAGGCAAACAGACTTGAGATTGAATCCTGCTTCTGCCAAGTGAACTGGAACAAGTTCTTAACCTTTGAAAGTTAGAGATAGGGCTTGAAAAGCACCCAATAAAGAGTCTGGAATACATGAGAAATGTCATGCACACTTTGTGTGTGTGTGTGTGTATTTTTCTCTTGGAGCTCGTAGAAGACAGACGTTGCCCATTATTTTTCTAAACCCAGAGAATACGGCATAATAGGTATTTAATATTTTGAGAATGATCTATTCTTGGTGCCTACCCTGGCAGGACCTTCGGCTTGTATAACTTGCCACCACCAGCTGTGAAACTCGGTGGCTCTATTTATAGAACTTTCGGACAAAGCCCGCATAGCCTGTAGTGTCCACCTAGTGGCCAATGTAGGATGTGATGCTGTGGTCTCAGTCACTTTTAAGTGTAAAGGTCATTGTAGTGGTTTAAGACTCCCAGTTGGTGGTATTCAGGGGTGAGGAAGTTAGCTTTCCAGTGTGGCCCAACCCAATAGTCTGGCGTGGGAGAGAAAGCAGGGTGTGAGCAGCCTGGTCTCACCTAGTGGCCTTTTTTTTTTTTTTTAAAGAGACAGGGTTTCGCTGTCCTGCTCAGGCTGGAGTACAGTGGCATAGCTCACTGTATCCTCAAAATCCTGGGCTCAACAGATCCTCCTGCCTTAGCCTCCCACGTAGCTGGGACTACAGGCATGTTGTATCTGGTGACCTTAAGAGGGCTGCAGTCTTCCCTGTTTGGTGACAGGGATTACTCCACCAACAGATGTGGGCACAGATGCCTGCTGGAACACTCACCTCCTCGGAAGCTGAGGAACCCATCGCTGCTGAATTAAATTCGTCCCTCAGTACCCCTGAGGGATTGGTTCCAGGACCCCAACAGATACCAAAATCTGCAGATACTCAAGTCCCTTCTATAAAATGGCATACTATTTGCAGATTACCTACACATCTTCCCACGTGCTTAAAATCATCTCTGGATAACTTATAATACCTAATACAATGTAAAGGCCATGTAAATAGTTGTTTTACTGTATTT